TCCTTAGCCCCCATTGAGGCTTTTCAGCTCCAGCCCCTTCAGGGGGTTTAAGTAGGTAAAACCTGAGGAAGAGGCTATTTTCCTCCCTCCCTTTTGAGCCCTGCCTTGTGCCCAAAAGGCCCCCTTGTTTCACGCGTGCCAGTCACCTGGCTGGGCCCCCAGCCCCTTTCTCTCCCAGCCTCCCTTTTCTTTCTCTTTTCTCTCTTTTGACTTTTCCAGGAGCCCTCGCTCTCCAAACGAGCTTCAGATTGGATCCAGATTGAGGTCCCTTTGTCTTTCAAGGGTTGTACTAAGCTAATTAAATGTGATCCCAACAAATAAACGCAGATCTCCCCATTACATTCAGGCCTGCCTTTCAGGCAGCACCGGGCGGCCCCTCGCCCCCGCCCGCTCCGCGCAGGGTCCCCCTCATTGAGTCCCGGCCATTGAAAGCACTGCCAGGATTTCTTTTGTGCCGGGGGTCTCCGAGCCCTTTTTCCATCAGAAAAGACCCCCAAACAGCAGCTCGGCCTTTGTGAGTTTGCAAGCAAACGCCAAAGAAAAGCCCCCTGAATGCTTTAATAAATGACACATTTAGCAACTTCGGAGGCGCCTGGCTCCTGCGGCAGCCGCAGGGGTGCGATGATCCCTCCTGCCCCGGCTCCCCCGGCTCCCGCAGGGGTGCGATGATCCCTCCTGCCCCGGCTCCCCCGGCTCCCGCAGGNGCTCCCGCAGGGGTGCGATGATCCCTCCTGCCCCGGCTCCCCCGGCTCCCGCAGGGGTGCGATGATCCCTCCTGCCCCGGCTCCCCCGGCTCCCGGGGCATTTGCAGCCCGCGGAGGCGCGGAGGTTGCGGCCGGAGCAGCTGAGCTCGCAGCCCGGCTCTCCGCCGCCGCCCTCCCCGGTGCTCGGGGCCGCACGGAGCAGGTGATGGAGCCGGCCGGGCCAACCTGCGCCGGCACCGGGCACCGGGCACGGGCACCGGGACACAGGGACACCGGGACATCGGGACACCGGGACATCGGGACACCGGGACACCGGGCACCGGGACACCGGGACACCGGGACACCGGGCACCGGGACATTGGGCAGCGGGCACCGGGCAGGGGGACACCGGGCACCGGGCAGGGGAACACCGGGCACCGGGACACCGGGACACCGGGACACCGGGACACCGGGACACCGGGACACCGGGCAGAGGGCAGGGCGCGGCAGGGCGGCCGGGGCCAGGGGGCTTTTGAACTCAGACCCCAGGGTCCCTTCGCCTCGTATTAGCGCTGGCAAATCCAAAATCGTTTTTAATGACACATACCAGCCCACCCCACCCCGGATCGGGGGCTGCGCTGGACTTTTCTCAGCTCAACTAATATCTTTTTAATGACTTTGGGAGGGGGCAGAGCCCGGCTCTGCCCTAGAGCCTGGATTGCTCCAAACAGATGTTGGGGCAGAGGGAGGGGGATGCTCTTCCCTGCCAGGGACTTTTTTCTAAAGTTCAAACGAGACGGGAGCTTTCAATCACCGCTAAAAATGTATTTCTCCCCATTGAACAATGGGCTCCTTTCTGCGCCCGAGGGGACTTGGCTGCGATCGCGTTTCTGCTGCCGGAGAGGAGAAACCTCCGGTCTTAGGGCAAGAAAAACTCAGCTTCGAAAAGGGCTCTCCCCTGCGCCGGTTCTTTTCGTAGCTCTGCATCCCTCCTGCGTTCTACCTTCCACGGAAAAAAAAAAAAAAAAAAAATACAAAATTGTACTAACGAAGCACTAATCCTCCTTCCCCGCCGCACGGGAGCCGCCGCAGATCTTTGCAGCGAAGCCGGGCAGTGAATGCGGGGTTTGAGGAAAGAATCGCGGCTGCACCGGCCCGGGGCAGCGGCGGCTCCATCCCCGCATCCCGGCTCCGTCGCCAGCGGCCCCACAAGAGTTAAATTTTAAAGCAAATCAAATTCCCATTGGCCACTGTATATTATCTCAGCAGTCTTCATTTGATACCTCTTTAATACAGAAAGGAGCTTTTCAAACCCCTTTTCTCTCTTTTCTCCCCGCCACTCTTTAAGAGCAATAAATGTTCAACTGCAATAACTATAAATCAATCTCCGCTCTGTTCAAATCCTATTCATGCGAAGGGCTGGAAGAGGGGAGAGAGCTCCCCCCTCCCCCCCGCCCCCCAAAAAGCAGCTGCTGGGCTCTAATCTCCTTTCTTGCACTGTCATTCACCCTCATTTTTCCTCCATCACCCCATCCCTGCAATCTTTTCTTGTTTTGCTTTTCTTTTCTCTCTTTGCTGCATTATGATCCCATGTCTCCCCTCATCAGACCCCAACCTTGTCCAGATCCTGACCATCCCCTTGTAGGCTGTGAAAGAAAAGAAGAGTCCATGGATGTCAAATTGGTCTCAAAAAGACCATGAAAGATTGATTTGCTCCACTTTTCTTCTGCCTGACATTATTTCTGAGGGTCCTGAATGGGAAACCAGAAAGTCTGGGACTGGAATAAAGATGTTCTCTCTGTAAGGGGGAGACGGGGGGGAAAAATGCCCATTTACTCCTGGCCCATCAACCCTGCAAAACAGAGCAAAAGAAAAGAGGACTGTGGCTATTCAGAGTCAGACCAATATGTACACCTCCCAACAATATGCCAATATACTGAGGGCTTCTCTATTAACACCCATGAATATTAAAGTGCTCACTAAACGCTCAGAAGGAACTTTGGGAATATACACATGAAAATACAAGCAGTATTGTGCGGGGCTCAGAACAATGGGGCGGCGATAATGGCCCTTCTCTATTAACAGCCATGAATATTAAACTTGCTTCCTCTTAAATGTTAAAAAGGAGGGATAGCTGCGATATTAAAAAAGAGAAATGAGTAGGGGGTAGGAGGGGGGAACACACAGCAAAGTACCTTCCTAGGACCGGGAAGAAGCTTTGGGAAACAGCTGGGGATATTTAAAACCACGCAGAAAATGAAAGAAAAAAATTTTTTCACCTTTTTCTACCGCTACCCCCCCGCGCCGCCGAGCCCCCGCAGCCGGGAGCGGGGTTCAGCGCAGTCCGCACCGGAGAGCAGGGGGTTCAAGAGCATCTATTATTTATTTATTTATTTATTTTGTCCCGGGATAACTTGAAGGTTGAAGGGTTTTCCTGGGGAAACGGAAAAAAAAAAAAAAAAAAGCAATAAAGCAATCCGATGACTGGCTTGCCTCGGCGGCTGGAGGGAGCCGGTGTTGGGAACCTTTCCACCTGATGCGTTATGTTTAGCAAGGCTGAAATATTCTGACGGCTCATCTAGCCAAAGTCCAGAAAAACAAAATAAACTTTTTTTTCTTTTTTTTACGCTTATTAAACCCCAAACCAATCCCTGAAACGTTGTTAACCTCCCCTTTCCAGGAGCGCGCTGCCTCTCGCCGGGCGAAGACCCGAAAATAAGCGCAGGTCTGGGTGGGTTCCTGACATCTGCGTTGCTTCTTGATTGGATTAATAGAAATAATTGCACATGGCTTGTAGCATCATTTCACCCAGGCCAGAAGACACTCCACGGCTCCAGCCTATAAGACACCCACCCAGGGGATGGGCTGGGGGTTTGGGCTGTGCTCGGCCGCTGCTCCGGGCGCCGGGTGAGCCCCGGCGGGGCTTGCCGGGACTCCGGGCTGCGGGAACCGGCCTTGGAGCGCCCGAGGACCTCGGGGGCCCAGCCTTCTTCCCGCAGCCCTTTACAGCCCCTCGTCCCCAGGAAAATCAAAAGAACAAGGCTAAGGAGAGGGCTCTAAGCTCCGACACAGCAGGACTAGGTTTAAATCCGGGAAAGATTAACCCTTTCCTGAGCCGGCAAAGCTCGGGCCCCGAGGGGAGCGCTGGGTTTGGGGGCACCGCTCTGATGCCACCTTGCTGGGGAGCAGAGGTGGCTGCGGGTGCCCCAGGGCTCGGCAGGGCGGGGATGGGCGCCGTGGCTGGCCGGGGCTGCCTTCGGGTGCGGGGACAGGGGCGATGCGGCGGCAGAGCCCCGGAGATGCTGCAGCCTCCCCGGCGTGCGGGTCCGGCCCTGGGGGGACACGGCAGGACGTGGTTGCTATTGCAGGGAGACGGGGGATCCACGAGCGGTCCCCAGTCCACACCTGGGCACAATTCCCGCGGGGATGTGGCAGTGGGGACCGGCCGGGCTGGTGGCGGCAGCCGGGTGAGCCCTGCCTTAGGGTCAAGCGGGGATCAGCCCCGTGAGCGCCGTGGACCCTCCCCGTGCTTTGGGGACCCTCTCCCGGCATTTGGGGGAGCAGCGCCGCAGCCTCCCGGTGCTGCCGGTCCCGGCTGGGAAAGCCGGGGATGCGAGGGGCAGCGGGGAGCCGAGCACGGTCGGGGCCGACGGCGGGAGCCTCAGCCCGTTCCCCCGGAGCTGTGAGGGCCAAACGCCGCAGAGCACCGGGAGCTGTCGGGCTCGGGGCCGCCGATTTCGTTGTGGTGTTCAATGGCCCCAAAGCACGGCGTTTCAGTCCCAAAACGAGCGCGGGGCCCAGGTAGGGAGCGGGACCGTGCCCGAGGGTGCAACCCGTCCATGGGACACTGGCGGGGACATTTCTGCCCATTTCGCCGCTGTTCTGCAGTGCCCGGGGACAGGTGCCCGGGTTTGGGTTTGCCCGGGCCGGGAGGTGCGAGGGGCCGAGCCGGTGCGTGTGTGCATGTATCGGTGTGTGTATATGTGTATGTGTGTATCCTCCGTGTTTGTGTGTTTGTGTGTGTGTGTGTGTGTGTGTGTGTGTGTGTGCGCTCGCCGTGTCCCTCCCTCCCTCCCTCCAGCCACCCCACCCCCGGGAGGGGAGGGAAGGAGGAGATGGGAGGGGGGGGCTCCGACGGCTCGCCTCGCTCCGGCAGTCTCTCCGCCAACGTCAGGGAGGTCATTAATAACCAATTAGGAGGGTCAATGAAGCTCATATATAGCCGGGCGGGAGCCGCCGAGCCGAACGGAGCCCAGCCCGCCGCCCGCCGCCCGCCGCGCCCGGCCCCGTCGCGCCCGGCCCCGCCGCCTCGCCCCCATGATGGGCTCGGTGCTGCCCGCCGAGGCCCTGGTCCTCAAGCCCGGGCTGAAGCCGCAGGGGCTCTCGCTGGCCGAGGTGATCACCTCCGACATCCTGCACAGCTTCCTCTACGGCCGCTGGAGAAACGTCCTGGGCGAGCAGCTCTTCGAGGAGAAGAGCAGCCCCAAGACAGCCTTCACGGCCGAAGTGCTGGCTCAGTCCTTCTCCGGAGGTGAGTGACCCCCCCGGACCCTCCCCGATCCCCTCGGTTTCCCCCATTCTTCAACCCTCGGTTTCCCCCACCGGCCCCGGGCCGGCTCCCGGAGTCCGGCGGCGGGATGAGGTCCCGGCGCCCCGCTCTCCCCAGGCGTGGGACTTGGGAAAAAGGGCTTTAAATTCATTTGGTTAACTTGGGCTTGACCTGAGAAAGTTCCCACTTAAACCGCGGGCTGGGGGGGCCGGGGCCGTCCCGCATTCAGCCGCCCGGGACAATATCTTTTCTCTCGCCCCGGCATCGCCGGGGCGTCCCAGCTCCCTTTTCCCCCTCTCGGATTTCTGTTCCTCTCTTAATTTACCATGAAGGCTAATTCCATTTCCATTCACGATATGTCAACCATCTCATCTCCCCATTTTGTAAGAGGAATTCCTGGGCCCTTTTAAACAAGCCCTCGCGCCATTCAGGCACAATGTACCGCTACAGCATTCCTAAAGGACTAATGAATTTAGAATTAGCAATTTCTTTCTAGTTGAGTTTAATGAATGCAGATCACTTTAACAGCATGACAAATTGCTGGATGGGCCGAAATAGACACCATTTAACCTCCTTTCCCAGCCCCGCTCCCTCGCCCAGCCCGGGATGCTTTTCCCAGGTACCTCCTCAATGCCCCGGGGGAACCTTGTAGCGCTTTGTGGGAGCTCGGTTGGGCGTTTAAAAGGCTCAGCCCCGGGCTCTGGGCTGGGGCCGGGGTTGGGCGGGGTCCCCGCCGCCCCAGGTCTCCCCCTTTCCCCCACCCCTGTCCCTTTCTGAGCTGGTGTCCCCCCTCGCAGAGGTGCAGAAGCTCTCCAGCCTGGTGCTGCCGTCGGAAGTGATCATCGCCCAGAGCTCCATCCCCGGGGAAGGGCTCGGCATCTTCTCCAAGACTTGGATCAAGGCTGGCACCGAGATGGGGCCGTTCACGGGCAGGGTCATCTCCCCCGAACATGTGGACCTGTGCAAGAACAACAACCTCATGTGGGAGGTAAAGAATGCCCCGAACCCCGAGCCCGGACCGGTCTGGGGAGAAGAAGGGACGGGGTGCTGGGGCTCTGTGCCGTGCTTGGGCACCATCGAGCACCATCCTTGTGCCTCAGTTTCCCCATTCATGCAAATATCTGGGCAGGTGTGTTTAGGAACCCCTTGCAGGAGAAGGATGAGCTTTCCTCAGCCCTCGGGGTGCAGTCAGCCCACAGAGACCTGAAATGCTGTTGCTCGTGTCCTGTGCAGGCAGATCACACCCTGCCCTGCCCTGCCCATCATGTTCTGGTGGAACACCCGACTGGTTGCTGCCTGCACTGGCCACCGTGGACAAAACCAGCTCTGCCCTGTCCCTTGCTCCCGGCTGTGCCCCAGCCCTGCTGAGGTTAATCCCAAATGAAACTCTGGAGACTGGGGGGACCTGAGATGCCAGGACATTGTGCACCAATGCACTGCCAAAAGGGAGGCTTTTCCTATTTTTTGATTTGTTTGATTCAGATTTGCACTTCTTAACTACTGTTAATTATTATTATAATTTTATGCCTAACAGAAACTTGCCTAATCTTTTCTGGCACCCTGCTAAACATTTTTCCAGACCTGGCATGCACCTTCCCCTTCCACCCAGGGATTCTCTGGCTCCCACAGCACCTGCAGGATGCTGAACTGCCCCTTCCTCTAGGGCTGAGCTGCTGGTGGGGCTCTGACGAGAAGGGAGATTGAGGAAGGGAGTTGGGTTATCCAGGGACACAGGGGCTGGCAGGACCAGCCACGCCAGTGAGAGCAGGGCACGTTTCTCAGCCCTGCCGCAGTCCAGCACCACGAGCAGGAAGGGTCCAGCATCTCCCGGCTGCTGTCAGGATCTCAGCCCTGAGGCTGTGCTGGCTTTGGGTTTGTCCCTGTCCAGGGGCAGGAGGTGCAGGGGCTCAGCCCACCGCGGGCAGCATCGCTACCAGGCTCTCTCTGCCCTCGCAGGTCTTCAACGAGGACGGCACAGTGCGGTACTTCATCGACGCCAGCCAGGAGGATCACCGCAGCTGGATGACCTACATTAAATGTGCACGGAACGAGCAGGAGCAGAACCTCGAGGTGGTCCAGATCGGGAACAGCATCTTCTACAAGGCCATTGAGGTAAGTGGGGCTGAAGACTCTCCCCACCTTGTTCTTTGGGTTGTTGGTGGGGTGTCTGTGGAAGGACACGGCAGCTTTTCCATGCTTGGCACTCAGATCCACCAGCAGAGGTAGAAATCATAGGGAAGGACCATTGCATGGGCTTCAGGGAGTAGTAAAGGTCCCTTCTCCTCCCTGTCCCCTTTCTGTGGGCTCATGGAATGATGTGTGTTATACAGGGTGAGAGTAGGTCCTTGTTTGGGGTGTAAAGCATGAAAAGAGCTGCAATTCTGGCCCATATGGGGCTTTGGGCATGGACAGGGCTTGGATGCTGTATTGAAAAAGTGGGATTTTGTGCAGAACCTGCTTCTTTATAGCAGGGTGAAGTTGAGGGGATTCTGTGAAACCCAGGTGCTGAGCACAGGCTTTGTCTGACTCTGCACTGCTTTGCCTGGGCACTACTCTGGCTGTGCAGGGAGCCACGGAGACAACAGGGAGTGGCACTGGTGCAGCCGTGCCCTGGGCTTTACACTGTGGGGAAGGGCTCATCCTGCCCCCTCATCCCTGTGCTGCCCAGTGCTGCTGGGGCACAGGAGCAGGGGCAGGGTCCTGGCGTGGCACAGGCTGCTGTGCAGTGGGGTGACGGCTGAAGGGTGCCCACAGCTCCCTGCAGGAGACTCTGGGATGGAGGTGGGTGTCTGGCTCCCTGGCATTATTGGTGACATGTGCATACAAATCACACAGTGCCGGAGCGGGGTGATGGTGGGGACCAGCCCTGCTTATGGGCAGTGTCCCCATAACCCAACGCTATTGCAGGCAGAGAAATGTGGTGGCTTGGGGAGATGGTGCAGCAGCTTTGGCTTAAAGAGTCACAAGAGGGGACATGTCCCAGTCCATACCAGTCCACCAGTGTGGGATTGTGCCCCTCCAGTACTGGGTTCAGAGTCTCACCTGAGGAACGTTTGCAGCTGGGAGAGGCTCTCAGCTGGGAAGGACCATGAGTGCCTGCTGGCTCTGTGGGCACGGGCAGCTCTCCGGGTCTGTCCAGGCTCCTGCACCGGCTCACGGAAGAGCACAAACTCAAATGCTCCATGGCACAGGAGCACAGCCCAACCCTGCACTGAGCAGGCAGCAGGGCTGGGTTAGGGATTGCTGCCGTGGGGTGGCAAAAGAGAATAGGTGGGTAGGAAGAGGATCAGATATTCTCTGCTCCTGCTGGAGAGTCCTGTGTGCCCTTTGGAGAGTCCTTTGGGCTCTGCCCCTTTCCCAGAACTTCAAGCACTTCCCTGCTGTTCTCATGCTGGACAACAGGCTTCAGGTGTTTCTAGTTTTAAGATCTGATATTCCCCTAGGCAGCTGTGCCTGTTGTGATGGCTTCTTAATTACTTTTTACTACTGTTCTTAAATTATGCAAATAAGTAAAATAATTCCAGGTAGCTGCGGTGCAATTAGGAGCACAGCTGTGGTTTTCACACCTTGTGCAGGCACACAAAAGGGGGTGGATGAGCGAATATTTGGGTACAGCCATGATCCAGCTGTGGGCTTGCTCCTGGAGCCAAAGCAGTGAGTGGTGGAGCAGGATGAGTTTAATTCCCCTGGCACAAGCAGTGAATTTGAGATGTTGAGAGTGCTGAACCCCAAGTGATGCGTGGAAGGAGGTGGCTATGAAGGGTCCCTGCTGTCACACTGCTCCCCAAGCCTGAACTTAGGTGCTGCCCTGCTCAGCACCAGAGATGTCTATGCATAGCCATTGTCACCCTCCATCCCCTCCCTGCCCTGATGGATTCCCAGCCAGGGAATTCATCTCTTTGGGTGCCTTTCTCACCTACGTGCCAAAAAACCCCAGATTGATTTGGTGCTTTTTTTTCCTATTTACCTTAGATATTTTTTAGATATTTTAATGCATTTTGCCCGTTCCTGCCCTTATTTGCTGATTTGATTTTCCCATCCTCTTTCTCAGCAATATCAAGTTGCTGCTGCTGGAAAATAAAACGAAGGCAGAAAGTTTTGGCCTTTGATCTGAAGGCCACAAGATTCCTGGGAGGCAATTTGAATTTGCTTTGGGGTGTATGCACATGGGTGCTCACCTGCTGCTGGTGTGGCTGCAGCAGCTTCAGCAAAAAAACCCACACACCCGTGTATGCACACCCATGCAGATTGTTTTATCCTTTCGGCAATATTTTATTTGCTTGTATTAAAAATGGCTAATTTTCTGTTAAGGGTATATAATGCCAAGAAACAGTGTCATCAGTTTGGGATGCAAAAGGATATCAGCTTCCTTTACCTCCCAAATTTCTCCTCTGCAGCCCAGGGAGGTCTTTATGCAGAGGGACAAAGATATGAAGTAAAATTCCTATTGATTTCAGATGCTTTAAATTCAACGTATTTTCAGTGTTGAGGTGATTGAACTTAGCATCTATGTTTCACATGGATGATGCTTTATTTGGATCTAACATGCTCAGTGTACAGAAAACAATTTTCCAATATACAGGACATTCCTGTTTCTAAATTAGATACTTAACAGTAGGAACTGCTAGGGAAAATATGTTTGGTTTTTTTTATAAATTATGTTGTTATTAGTGTTGTTTGAACTGGTCTGAGAGGATCCATCTTCCCAGCCACAGCTGCTGCATGAGGGGAGCCTTGAGCAGCGTTTCCTGGCCACTTGCCCCAGCCATGCGGGAGCATGACAGGAACGGCAGGGACAGGAGAAGTGCCACCACTGCAGGGAAACAGGAGCATGGATGATGCAAAACCCCTGCCCTGCTCCTCTAGCTGTCCTTGGGCTGTTGCAGGCACTGCAGCTTTGGTGGGGGATAGAAGCAGGTTTCACACCTGAGCCACGGTCTCTGAGAGCAGCTCTGAGCTCTCCTCTGCCCCGCAGGCTGATGAGCCCTTTGCTGGCAGATCTGCGTTTCCACCTTCTAAAATCAGCCCTGGCAGGGTGGGTGGGAGGTGCTGCCCGTGACCTGCAGCTGAAGGGTACTGATGGCTCTGTCCAAAGATAAAATGCTCTGCTGGAGTGCTGAGTGGGGCTCCATGTCCCATATGTTTGTATCCCAGCTTGGGGGAGAGCCTGGAATGGTTTGTGCTGGTGCTGAGCTGCGCCATCACCTCCAGTGCTACATCCTGGGCTGTTCTGTGCCTCCCTGTGGGTGTTGGGGTCAGCTGGCAGGTCCCAGATGGCATCAGGATCTCACAGAAATGGGGCAGAAACAGGGTAGATCAGTGCAGGGATGGATGTTCATCACCCCTCCCAACAACCCTTTCTTTCTCTCTCTTTCTAGATGATTCCTCCAGACCAAGAGCTGCTGGTCTGGTATGGGAACTCCCACAACACCTTCCTGGGCATCCCAGGTGTGCCAGGGCTGGAAGAGGAGCAGAAGAAGAACAAACATGGTAGGTAACATCAGAATGAGCCAAGGGTGCAGCATCCCTGCCTGTTCACCCCGTGCCCAGCTCTGAGGGCACAAGGCAGGGACATCCCTGGGGTATGTCAGATATCCCAGTTCTCTGTGGACAAGCACAGGGACTGTGAAATGATCCACACAGCTTGAGCAGATCCTCAGTTATTCAGGGCGAAGCCTCCAGGCCAGCTTGCCCAAGGCTGCTGCGGGTGGGGTGGTGGCAGTCACTGCCTGACCCAGCCAGGCAGGGAGGAGCAGAGCAGGGTGTGAGTGCAAGGCAGCCCCAACACTCCGTGAAACACCAAGTGGATGCAGCCTCTACACCCGCACTCTGCATTTAAAGGATCTTAATCACCAGCACAGGAGGGCTGTCTCTGCTTGAGCTTCTGCTCTCCGCTCGTCTCAGTGGCTCCCTGAGGTGCTTCTCTGTGGCACAGCGGAGCTCAGGCTGTGTTTGGAGCCACTTCTGCGCTCCCTGACTTTGCTCCCCACTCTGAGAGAGCCATGTCTGAGCCCAGCAGAGCGAGGGGAGAAACTGGGACTGGGGCAGGGGCTGGACAGTGTGGTTGGGGGTTCCTGAGAGTCCTTGCACCCCCCTCCTCCAGCTCTGCTGCAGCCCAGGGAGGGGAAAATTGGTTTTGTGTCTATTTATAAGGGATTCATTCAGCTCAGCTTGAACATTCCCCTTACCTAAATCTGGCTGAGCCCATTCCCAGCACTAGCTGCATCTCAAAATCCTGAGATGCCGCTCTGCCCAGGATAGGTGACCACAGCAGCAGGGAGCCAGCAAGAAGGCACTGGGGGTTTTCCAGAGCACCCAGCAGCCCAGGGAATTGGGGTGGGCTGAGCTGCCGTGCTGGAGGGCAGCGCCTGACTATCTCCTGTCGTCCCCAGAGGATTTCCACGCAGTGGAGACGGGGGCCAGCACGACGGGGCGTATGCGCTGCGTCATCTGCCACCGCGGCTTCAACTCCCGCAGCAACCTGCGCTCCCACATGCGCATCCACACCCTGGACAAGCCCTTCGTGTGCCGCTTCTGCAACCGCCGCTTCAGCCAGTCCTCCACCCTCCGCAACCACGTCCGCTTGCACACGGGCGAGCGGCCCTACAAGTGCCAGGTTTGCCAAAGTGCCTATTCCCAGCTCGCAGGGCTGCGGGCCCACCAGAAAAGCGCCCGCCACCGGCCCCCCAACGCCTCCCTGCAGGCCCACTCGCCCGCCCTGCCCGTGCCCCACCCTGCCTCCCTGGCCCATCACATCCCCACCATGGTGCTGTGAAGCCCCCGGGATGGCAGCAGGATGTGGGACATCAAAGACTGATGCTGAGACATGCAATGAACTGGGGGGGTGACCCTTGGCTGAGCTGCTTTGTCTCGGAGGAGTGTTGGGTTGTTTTTGGGCATCGCTGACTGCAGGGGGTCGGCAGGAGGGAACCCCCAGCTCTGCAGCTGAGTTGTGGAGGAGCATCCCCAAGGAGGTGTGGCTGGTGCTCCCTGGGGTTGGCAGAGGAGAAGGGGTGCAGTGGGATGTGCTGTGTGGGTTTGCCAGTGCACTGCGGGAGGACTGGGAGAGCCGAAAAGCTGGGCCTGGAGGAGCCATGCCTGGATTTTACAGATAATTTGGTAGAAAGAAAAATTCCTGTTATCTGTCCTCCTCTGCTTTAGCAGACACGTGCCCCACTGAAATGTTGGCACGGCCCTGATGTGGCCCCCCCAGTCACACCTATTTGCCCTGGGAGTGACTTTGGTCCTGGTGGCTCCTTCCAAGGGACACCTTTCCCTCTTTGGGAGCCCCGAGTTAGTGAACATTCGCATTTTCCTGCACCTGAGCCCCCCGTGCCCGCCCTGCTCCAGCCAGAGCCGTGCCCTGGGGTCTGTCACCGCTCCAAGCCGTGCTGTGGGCAGAGGGGACACGGTGCCAGCTGGGAATGCCCATCCACAGGCAGGTTCTGCGGGGAACCTGAGCTCTGCCGGGCTCTTCTCCCCATCCCTTTCCCAGCTGTGAGGGAACATTCTGGTTGGAATTGCTACTGCCCTCTGGGGACAGAGAAAACCTGTCCCCGGGCCAGCTCTGTCCCCAAGGACAACTCTAAGCGCCCTCTGGAGTCCCCACACAGCGGAGGAGGGCTGTGTATCATAAATCTTAAAAGAAGGTATTCTAATATTAATTATAAGTCTAAGATGTATAAAGTTCTCACAAATGTGTTTCACTTCCAGAAGAAAATAAACAAAAACAAAAGAAAAAAAAAAAAACCCACCCCCAAACAACTGTCACTTTAACTTTGTAAATATTTATGTAAACATTATTTACAAGACTTTGATATTATATATTATTTGATTGTATATGTACACAGTGTAAATACATTTGTACCTCTCTTGTATTCTAAATAAAAATTACTTGGAACATTTATCATTTAGAAGAGGGATTGCATGGAGAGCTTTATTTTATGTGCCAGGGGAAGGATGTGGGTGTTGGGATGAATGAAGGTCTCAACTGCCACAACAATGTGTGAGTGAGGAGATGCGGTGTCATCTGTTGGACCAAGAATACACCTGGGAGGGGAAAAAAACCAGGTTTTGGCTAAAGAAGCCCTTTTTCAGGTCTGGAAGCTGGGGTAAGGGCTGGCTCACTCCAGAGTGGGTATGATTCTACCCTGCCAGTCCCTATTCTTGTGAACTTTTACAGCTCCTCTTTGAAGCCACAGCCACTGGACATCGTTTGATGCATCCCGTGAATTAGCGCCCATATTTCGGCTGTGATACAGGCGGGATATGGGTGTGGCATACAGGTGTAAGCCCTGCTGGAAGGAAGCGACATTATTTGCTGATGGCCATCGCAGCCCTGAGACTCTAACGGTGCTTGAATGGATTAAACTTTTCCACGGACGTATCAGTTCGTGCTGGCACAGCTCGGCCGAGGGGAAGGGCTCATCCACGGGGATGTTTAAGCCCAGAGTGAGCAGCGGCCAGCTGGGGAGGGCGTCAGAGGATGGCCCTCAGCGGGACACCTTGTGTGAGGGGCACCCGAACCGGGGGTGAGCCCCGGGAGAGCCCCGTGGCGTTCCCCGCGTTCGCCAGGAGGGTTCTGAGGGAGAGGGTCACTGCCCGGGGTGCCCTCACTAAAGATGGCCGCGGTTCCCTTTGGGCTCCACCGGAACGAAGCCCAACAGGCCCCTCGCTGCCAGAAACAAACATGGCTGCCCAGTCACCGCCCCTGCCGCCCTCACTCAAGATGGCGGCGCCCGCGCCCTCAGGCGCGCTTTCGCCAGCAGCCAACATGGCGGGCGGAAGGCGCGTACGGCGGGGCCAAGATGGCGGCGGTCACCATGAGGCTGCCGGCGGCCCGAGCGCCCCTGGATTCCAGCGCGCCCCGGAGCGGCGAGAAGCACCTGGTGGCACCGGGGGACACGATCACCACGGACACGGGATACATGAGGTGCGGGCAGCGGCGGAGGGGAGGCGGCGGGGCGGCGCGGCTTCGGGCTGTCCTTAGGTAGCCGCCGTCTCTCCGCAGGGGCCACGGTACTTATGTGGAGGACGACAAGCTGATCGCCTCGGTGGCCGGCGTGGTGGAGAGGGTGAACAAGCTGGTGTGTGTGAGGGCGCTGAAGGGCAGGTGAGCGCGGCGGCGAGGCCCGCTGTGAGGTGAGGGGTGTGGGGTGTGAGGTGTGGGGAGTGAGGTAAGGGGTGTGAGGTGTGGGGTGTGAGGTGTGGGGTGTGAGGTGAGGGGTGTGAGGTGTGGGGTGTGGGGTGTGACCGCCGCTCTCTGCCCCAGGTACAACGGCGAGATCGGCGACGTCGTGGTCGGCAGGATCACCGAGGTAAAGCCCCGTGTTTGTGCAGGAGGAGGAGCGTGGTCGTGGATCAGTCCGACTCTAAGCGCTTCCCGGGAGCCTAAAACACTGACACGCATCAGTGTCCGTGCACAGGGTGCTGGGAACGTGTGGATTTTTACTGGAATGAGGCTGGAAGAAGCCAGCAGAGCTTTCCCTCCTGCAGCTCAGTGCAGTTTTTGATTGTGTACCCATAAGTTTTGGTGGCTTTTTCCCCTTTAGGTTCAGCAGAAGCGATGGAAAGTGGAAATAAATTCCAGGCTGGATTCAGTCCTGTTGCTGTCGTCTATAAATTTACCTGGTGGGGAGCTGGTGAGTGTAGCTGGTTGTGTTTTGTGTGGCATCTTAAGGGCCCCCACAATGAGCTACTGATGGATATTTCCTCGTTCTGGGATACGTGTAACTTTTCTTGTGATGTTTCAGAGAAGGAAATCAGCAGAAGATGAGCTTGCAATGAGGGACTACCTGCAGGAAGGGGATCTCATCAGTGTATCCTGCTGCTCCCATTGACAGAAGAGCCAAGGGCATGGGAAGAACAGGGAGAGCTTGGCTGGGGGTGAGAGCTATGCTGGGGTGGCACTGGGCAGCCTTAGGGACTCTGTTTCCTTAAGTGGCACCGACAGGCAGAGGTCCAGTCTATATTTTCTGATGGGGCTGTATCGCTGCACACCCGGAGCCTGAAGTATGGGAAGGTGAGTTATTCCAAAGCCCTTGATCCTGGGAAAAATCTGCACCAGCTGACTTGTACAAGGCTTTTTAAAGAAAAGAGCTCTGAGTAGAGCAGGATGTTGTTATAACCCATTCCTGCAGGACAGGAAGACTCTCAGCTCTTCCACGGGACCACCAAGAAAAGTTTCCCCAAAACAGAGGAGGTGTCCTTGAGTTGCCCTTTGATCCACTGCTCTCCCCATCCACAGTTTCAGCCTGCTATTCTGTTTCCCCCCACTAGCCACTTAGGAATTCAATCCTGGGGAGAGATCTCCTCACTCCTTTCTGCTGGCTGTTGCCCCTGTGACTTGTTCCTCTCCCCAGGGCTCTATTTTAGGCTTTACACAGTTGGCATTTATCTCTGGTTTTGTGCATTGAAATAAGCCAAGGGGCCATTGGAGCGTAGGTTGCAGTTTGGGATTACCAGACCAAAGGTATTAACACTTAAAAGATGAAAGGGAAGTGTGCTTATTGCACAAAGGGTGAAGGACAGTGATTGGATTACCAGAGAAAGTGTTCTGCTAAATTGGGCCTCTGACTCCTCATTTTTCTGCAGGGATGGTTGATGTGTAGTTACAATCAAGATATTATTAACATTTGTGCTAAGCACTTAGAGTATTCTTCATCTTCAAAGGGCTGTGCAGGCAATTAGCTAATCCTCCCAGCGCTGCCAGAGGCAGGCAGGTTTTATATTCACTGTTTCACAGGAAAAGATGTTAAAACAGTGTTATTCCTAGGCCAGGAATGGAGTGAGTGTGTATCAGTGACTTGGTGTTATCTGTGGTGGTTCATGATATCTCTCACACTGAGCCTCGTGGTCTGCTCTCCAGCTTGCCCAGGGTGTGCTGGTTCAGGTCTCTCCCTCCCTTGTGAAACGCCAGAAGACTCATTTCCATGACCTGCCCTGTGGGGCATCCGTGATCCTCGGCAACAATGGCTTCATCTGGATCTACCCAACCCCGGAGCAGAAGGATGACGAGGCCGGAGGCTACACGGCCAACTTGGAGGTGAGCGTCCAGGGAACGTGAGCCTTCTTCTGCCAGTGATGGTTTTTAGTCTGACATAGTCAGAGGCACGTGAGGAACCCGAGACTTTCAGGATCTTGTGTTAGGTTCACAGCAAGGCTTTTTTACTTGCATTATTTCCCTGTGCATTCATCCCTTTTCCTCTGTCCTTCCTCAGCCAGTTCCCTTGTCTGACCGGGAGGTGATCTCACGGCTCCGAAACTGCATCATGGCTCTGGTTACTCACAAGATTATGCTCTTTGACACCAGCATCCTATATTGCTATGAAGCATCCCTTCCTCATCAGGTACAGGAACCAGTAGTGTTTATTCCACACTGAGGGGAGGGAACAGAAAGGCTGCATCAGTTGCTGCTGAAGTCAGAGTTTCCTTTCAACTTACCAAAGCACCCTGTAGTAAGCGACAGTATGAACTCTCCTCTTCTGCACAACATAAGTTGATTGCACAATTTTAAGGTTCTGCCTCTGGCAAAGACTAACTGTTCTTAAAGAGAGATCAGTTCCGTTTTTGATAGATGTTGTGTATCCCTTGCTGGGATTATGGACCCTTTAATTCCTGTGGAAACAGTTTTAAATTTGGCATTGTATGAGGGCACAGTGCATTTTATGAAGCAATGAAAAAGTAAATGTCATGTATTGTACAGAGAGCAGGCTCATGACTGTATCCACATCCTGCACTCTGGAAGACTACCTCCATTTGACCTCTGGCTGTACA